AGCGATAAGGAGGCGAGGGTGAAGGACATGTATGAAAATGTGGGTGAAGGGAAGGCATGGAATGTGAAAGTCACAACCAACTTGCAGCATTGGGAAATCAATGACTATTGCAACCTGCTTTTGGTTTTGGGCAGCATGAAGGTGAAGGAAACAAGGGACAAACGAGTTTGGAAGCCTGATGAGAAAAATGGTTTTTCTGTGAAATCGATGTATAATTTTCTAGCACAAATGATAGAAATAATATCATTTTAGCACCCTTTAAACAGATTTGGAAAACTGGGGCCCCTCCTAGGATGGCTTTTTTTACGTGAGAAGCAGCTAAGGAATGCATTTTGACTATTGATATGCAGAAAAGAAGAGGTAATATCATGGTTAACAAATACTACCTTTGCAAATTGGCTGAGGAGACATGCAACCATCTACTTTTGTGGTGCTCGAAGACCTACAGCATTTGGAATTCTGTCTTGGGTTTGCTGGGTTTAACTTGGGTAATGGCTGAAAATGTGAGTAAAGAGTTGTGGGCTTGGACAGGTTATTATAAGAAGAAAAAATATTTGTTCTTTGTTCCACTAACTATTTTTTGGGTTGTGTGGAAGGAAAGAAATGCGAGTACTTTTGAGGGTATTGAGACTAATATTACAAACATTAAAGGTAGATGGATCTATACTTTTGGTTCTATTTTGTTAGGTCATGACATCAAAAATTAGATGATTTTGGATGGGTAATGAACCACGTAATTGACTTGTAACTATACTTTGTACATGGGCGGTATCCCTTTGATACCTTTGTGAATAATATTACTTCTCTTATATTTAAAAAAAAAAGTTAGAAATGTCACTTAAAACTTACAGACAGCAAAAGAAAAGGGTGAAGGAGGGAATGAAGAAGATAATGGTCAAACTAAATCATAGAGATCTAGGCAAAACAGTGAAAAGTCGTATATCTCATGAAGCTAATTAGTTAGAATGTTAATAGGTTGAAATGTGATTTTAAGATGAAGAAAATTAAGGAAGTGTTTAATAAGGTGTGCCCCGACATCATACTCCTACAAGCAAAGAAAAAAGAATCTACCAATAGGGTGTTGTTTGGAGCATTTGGGGGGTTGAGTTTTAAAGAATGAGTGGTTGTTCCATCCTTAGGAGTCTCATGAGGTATGCATATTGTGTGAGACACTAGGGTTGCTAGTCGAGTAGATGTGATTCAAGGTTCCTTCTCGTTATTTGTTTTGCTTAATGTGAAAGGAGAGGGATCCTGGTGGATAACATGTATTTATGAGCCTGTGAACTAGATGTAGAACTCTTTTTCAGATGCACTATCCTTTCTTTCTAGTACGTGGCATCTATATTGGTGTCTTAGGAGAAACTTTAATGCTTGTAGATTCCCCCATAAGAAATTGGGAAGTGGTAAGAAAACTATGATTTTAGTCAAGACTCTTGAGTTAAGCAATTGTTCGCTTAATAACACATGATTCACCTAGCCTGTAAATAGATGAGATAGATGCTCTTCGCGTATCGATCACTTCTTGATCTCATCTTATTCAGAGGAAATATTTCTTGATTTGGTATAAGATGATTTACTAAGGTCTTTATCGGATCATTTCTGTATCATCTTAGATTTCCAATGTGTGCAGTGGAATCCTACTCCGTTTAGGTTTAAGAACATGTAAATCCAACATCTTGATTTTGGTGGGTGGAGTGAAGTAATGGTTGCATGAAGACTTAGTAAGGGGATGGCCGGAGTATAAATTTATGTAGAATTGAAACTCCTTAAGGAAAAGTTGAGGAAATGGAAACAGACAATTTTTGAGGATATAAGTAAAAGGAAGACAAATATTCTCAAAGAACTGAAAGGTTTACATACTTTAACGTCAGAAAATAACATATCCCGACATCAATTAAATTGGATTGAAGACGTAAAAGAGGAAATTTTTCTCAAAGAGGAGCGAAGTTGGAGGCAAAAAACTAGATTGAAGTGGGTGAAAGAGGGTGATGATAATACTAGGTTTTACCCCCAAGTTTTTAATGGTTGGAGAAGGAGTGAGATTAAGGAACTATAATTGGATTGGAGGGTGTTAAGCGAGACAAGTAGTTGATTGGGCGTAAAATCACTAAGTTTATCAAAGGTTGTATACTAAGGATGGGATATTTAGGCCTTTTATAGAAGGTGTTGATTTTCAACCCATACTGGTGCCAAAGCCAACCATAGCGACAGACAATTTGAGGAAGAGGAGGTTCAAAAGGCTATTTGGGATATGTCCACCAAAAAGCCCCCTGGCCCCGATGGTTTTACAAGAGCATTTTTTCGATCTTATTTTGGTGTTTATTAAGAATGATGTCATGGAAGTATTCCAAGAATTCTTTTTAAATAGAAAGATATACTGAAGTGTGAATTCTACTTTCAAAACTCTAATACTTAAGAAAGACATAAAAAACAGTAGCTGATTATCGTCCTATCAGTTCATTGACTACCATTTATAAAATCATTATAGGTGTTGTCTTTACGCCTCGGCGAAGTTTTAAATGACACTGTCTCACCAAATTAGAGTGCATTTGTGGGAGGTAGACAAATTCTAGATGCAGTCCTTTATTGCTAAGGAATCAGTGGAATATATGTGAAGGGTGAAGAAAGAATGATTTGTCCTTGCAGAAGAATCGTGTAATCATGTGTTGTTGTGGTGTCTTGTGGCTTTTGAGTTGTGGAGTCTTATTTACAATCTACTTGGTATAAATTGGGCAGTGGTTGGGTCAGTAAGCGAGGAATTGTGGGCTTGGGATGGTGTGCACTTTGATAAAAGCTGTCAAAAATGATTCCATTAACCATTTTTTGGGTTTTATGGAAGGAGAGAAATTCTAGGGCTTTTGAGGATAAAGATGGTGATTTGTATAGATTGAAAAATAGATGAATGTATTATTTTGAGTCTATTTTATTAGGACATGACATAAGTGATGAGAATTTTGGATATGTCATTGACACACTAATTACATTGTAAAACTTTTGTAATGGGTGGTACTCCCTGTTTTTTTGGTACCTTGTTAATATATATTTGTTACACTTTTTATTTTTTTTTTAAAAAGAATGGTTTGTCCTTAAAATAGACTTTGAAAAGTGCCAAGGGTGAATCAGGGGTTCCTCCACCCAATGATGGATGGTAAGGGATTGGGGTCTAGATGGAGAACTTGAATAAAAAAGTGTTCTTCTTTTGTCTCGTTTAAGTGTTAGTGAATGGTAAGGTCCAAGAGTGTTTTCGAGATACTCGGGATATAAGACAATGTGATCCATTATCCTCATTCTTTTTTTTACTTTGGTAGTGGATGGTTTACGTAGGATGTTGACTAGGCGATCAAAGAGATGAGCACTTGAAGGATTTATTGTTGGGAATGATAGAGTTGAGGTGTCCCACCTCTAATTTGCAAATGATGCTAATTTATTCCTTTCTCATGGCAATAGGTATATCTCTAATGTACGCATGTTGGCAAGGTGTTAGGATGTATGTCTGATCTTTGAATTAACTTGGCTAAATGTTGGTTGATAGGTTTAAATATGCCCAATAGCCTAGGAACAATTTAACGGAGGGGATATGTTGTGACCCTAGCTCGGCCTATTATATATCTTGGCATTCCTTTGGGTGGTAACCCTAAGCGTAAGTTGTTTCAGGATGGGGTGGTTAAGCAAGTGTCTTGGCGTCTAGAAAATTGAAAATGGGTTTTTTTTTCATTGGGAGATAGGGTTACTCTTATTCATGCATGTTTATCTAGTATCCCTGTTTATTGAATATTTTTGTTTAAGGTTCCAGTTAGTTTGATTGAATGCTTAGAGGGGATAATGAGGAATTCTCTATGGGCAGGAAATGGTGAGGAAAGGAGAGATCACCTAGTAAAATGGGAGGTGCGTGCAAGTATAGAACTTCTTGATGTTTGAGCACTGAGAATTTATCTAGGAACGTGCCATTACAGGAACCTATCTTTTTTGTGGCATAAAGTAAACAAAAATGTTCATGGAAGTCAGTGGAATGGTTTGGATGTTGTAGCCATGAGATCTACCCAGTAAAAAAGTCCATGGAGGCCATTTCTAGTTTGGTTACCATCTATACGCCTCTTACCAGGTGAAACTTGGGGTATGGTTCCAAGGTCCTATTTTGGGAGGATATTTAGATGGCTGACCAGCTTTTGGGTATCCAGCTTCTACATCTTTTTCGTATATATTCCTGTCACAAAACCCTAACTAGCTAGTTATATTACTTTTCCAATAGTTATTTAATTTGGAATTTTCTTTTTCGGTAGTATGAAAAATGGAGAAACCGATGAACTCCTTATCATGCTAAGCTTGTTACAATTCTTTTAACCCTCCCAATAGCTTGATTGCATGGTATGGACTCAAATGATCGGTTCATATACCTGGAGATCATTAATGAAAGATCATTCTTCATTAATATTAGAAAGAGCCCTGAGTGTTACCAAAGTACCTTTACCAAGCCATTCTAGTATGTCAAGTTTCCTTCAAAAGTGAAGGTTTTTGTGTTGGACTACAATTATGAATTGTCCAAATTTCAATCAGCTGTTGCAAATTTATAGACCTAACTGAGACAATATCTCCTAACATTATGTGTTATATGCCATAAGAGAGGAGAAGTTGTTGAATATGATATTTTATTATTTAATTAGTTGATATTATGTAATTAGAATTTTATTAAAATAGTATTCTAATAAAATAATTATTTACTAATTAATATCTTAAAAATTTTATAAATATTCTAAATGTAACAATTTAAAAGATGAGAAATAAAATTATTTTTTCTCCAAAAATCTACATGATGTCAGAACCAAAGTAAGAATATTTTAGAGTTCTGATTTTAGAATTTTTTTCAAAAATCCTAAAATAGCACAATATGTTGGGTTTGTATCATTTTATTGAGATTTACTATCATCACCAGCCAAGACGGATTTGAACCCGCCGATGTGTTATGTGGTGTTTACGGTAATTTCAGGTGGCAGTTCAGTCGCCGATAAAAAAGTGCAGTCACATTTCCGCAAGCGTTGGTAAAATGAAGCAGCCGCACATTCGCAAGCGCTGATAAAAAGTGAAGCTGCACATCTGCTAGCACCAGTAAAAAGGTGCAGCCGCACATCTATTAGCGCTGGTAAAAAGTGCAACTGCACATCTATTAATGCCGGTTAAAAAGTGTAGCTACACATCTGCAGTCACTGATAAAAAGGTACAACCGCACATCTGCAGTCGCTGGTAAAAAGGTACAGCTGCACATCTGCAGATGCTAGTAAAAAAGTATAGCTGCACATTTGCGAGCGTTGGTAAAAAGGTACAGCCGCACATTCACAGGGACCAGTAAAAAGGCCGTGCCATTCTTTTTTTTTTCCATACATGAAGACATTTGGTTTGGCCATTCTGCATGCCGGATCACTCAAATCTAGTATGTCCATTTTAGAGTCGAGTCCGAGCAGTTTTGACCCTAATTCAAGCCATTTTTTAGCCGACTTCGAGCCTTTTTTGAGCTGAGTCTGAGCCGTTTTGAGCTGTGTCGAGTTGCTGTCTTGCTAGAAAGATCTGCTTCCTCCCCGCGCGAGCCGCTTCGACCAGCCTTTTCCAGTCCTTTTTCTGGCTCATCTGCGCGCAACTACCTCTGATTTTGCGACTAGGCCTTCTTTGCACCTGAGTACTTTTGATCAGTCTTTTCTATCCCTTTTTTGTCTCTTTAGCGCTCATGTATCTCTAGTTTCGCGATCCGGTACATATCCGCTTCTTTTGCGTGCGAGTTTTTCCGACCAACCTTTTTTGGTTCTTTTTCAGCTTTTCCACGCGCTTACACCTCAGGTTTGCAACTCAATTTGCAAGTTGGACATTTGTGATATCTCTGCATCAACTTGAGAGAAGGTGTTGAATATGATATTTTATTATTTTAGTTTATTATTTAATTAGTTGATATTATGTAATTAGAATTTGATTATAATAGTAATCTTATGTAATTAGAATTGTAGTAGAATAGTTATTTTTTAATTAATATGTTAAAAATTTAATAAATATCCTAAGTGTAACAATTTAAAAGGTGAGAAATAAAATTATTTTTTCTCTAAAAATTTACTGAAACATAATCATCTCTTTGTACATTGTGAAATGGTGTGAAAGTTGTGGATCACTCTTTGACACTTTCAACTTAGTATGGGTTACTCTTAATTCTTTATAATGTTTCATCAACACTAATATTAGTGATTTTGTGATTAAAACAAAGGCCAGGCCATTGTGGCAAGGAGTGTTGTTTTTCGGTCTTTGGACTCTCTGAATTAAGAGAAATTGATGGATTTTTGGTAAGCGATCTTTGTAGGGTAATTTTATTTGGAAAAAATGACCTTTCTGGCTTCCCTTTGGGCCAAGGCTCATGGAAAATGCTCTGATATTACCTTAATGTCTTTTATAAGAGCTGGGATGCTATAGTCACGTGATCTGTACCTCTTCGATGTTATCTACCTCTTTTTCTGTTTTCGTGTCTTTCCTTTTGCTTCAGCTGGATAACTTATCCTCTGTTTTCTTCATAATATTTTCCTTCTATTTC